ACAACCGTATGTAATGATGAAAGCAAAGAAAATATAAGCAATATATTATCAAAACAAACAAAGCCAAAAGATAATTATAGTAAGGAGTAGTAATACAGTAGAGCGTAAAGAATAGTACTAATTAAATAGCTAATTGTTAGCCACAAATGAACAAAAGCAAAAATTAATAATATTTATTATTGTTGTTATGTTACGAACATGAAATAATGCTAAAAGAGTTACCATGGCTCTACAGCAACAGATGGTAAAATTGCTGAATGTATTTCAGCTGCCTAATTAAAAAACAGTTAGGAAGCCAAAATACATGTTTACTAAAATAAGACGTAGGCGTTGGCCAAGGATTACCACACACAACGTGATGACAGCCAAGGCGGCCACGTAGCAGTGACCACTACATATATTATTCTAACTTTAATGGGTTCGTAACAGACCATTTTAGACCATCAGTATTTGCTCTGACTGTACACCAGCGTCCACTCACCTCTCAGCTTCTTGCTCCTTGGCCCACCTCCACTGTCCCTTGCACTCCTCAGAGCCTTCCTCGCCTCCAGCAGCTCCTTGCGCAACATACTTTGTGTCCTTTTTCTGTATGTTCCTTAATAAAAATGACCAGATCTTGCACCTCTCTCTAAAAAAACATGTTCGCACTAGTCAGTCCTAACATCCCTCCACCAAGACACCATTAAAAACAACAGTCCACGTTCCTTATCGCATGTCTCCTTTTTCTTGTCCTCTCCCTGTCTTCCAACTTCTATTTCCAGTCACAACCCCCACCAGGATTACAATACTTTCTCAGTGCACCCCCTCAACTCTGTTAGAGCTGGAGATTCACCGCCACACTGCTGCACAGCACAATCCAACGACCTTCGCTGTCCTCTGTGGGTCGCTCCACTTGGACTTAAAGGGAGGTTTGAAACCCTAGTAGACCAGGCAGACATGGGAGACAGGGATGATGCTATGCACACGCACACACACATATACACATACAAATACTGGGAGACAGTGCAGTCAGATAGAACTGAGAGGCAGCTTATTACAGATCAATATCACGGAACAGTAAACATACTGTAAAGAATCGTCTTCACGTTAAGGCAAGTTCCATCAGGAAATATTCAAACAAATGGAGGTGACAGTTCGTATTATTGATTGCGATGGTTGATTACTGAGCTTCATAATCATATATTAGATGATACCTATATTCTAAATGAGACACTGGGAAGTCTGCTGTGGGATTGATGATTGCATGTTCCTGAAGGAGTGACACAACAGATCTGGGAGTCAAAAAATATCAACACGTGATGATTAGAAACTCAGAAAATGTTTCTGATGGTGGTGAATGTTTTTTTTATATATTTATTTTACACCTAGCTACCTATAAAATGTTTTAAAGTTTGTTTCTATTGAAGACTATTCCCACACAGTGAGGCTAAGCTCATTTGGCAATTCCTCCACCTCACTTTCTCTTCTTTGGATTTGAACACCCGCTCTTTGAGTTACTGCCACCTACTGGCCCTGATTTCAAATTAAAAATAATTTTCACAAAAATGTCTTGATCTCTTTTTAAAGAAAAATATAAACTGATATCATATGATAGCATTGTTTATTTGTCATGATATGTCTGGAAATGAAATCCAGGGAGAAAGAACTAACACCAAAAACTAAATATATCACTGGTGACCAAAGCTCTATCAAACTGCTTATCCAGCCTTCAGATGTCTGAGAGCATTAGTCACACGCTAGCCTCCAAATGCTGATGTCAATGTGGATGTCTGAACGGGTGACACAGCACTGCTCTGGTTTCTGGTTGGTCGAAATTTGCTGTGTAATATCTATAAGTGACGCACCTGAGTGTCTGTCTGTCTGACTCACCGACCCAAATTACAGCCTTTAAAATGGATGTGCGCCTTGTCACACACAAACACGCACCAACACTAAACGAACAGCAGCTCCTACAAGCACACACACACGCACACACTCGAACCCCCCATCCCATCACTTCAGCACACCATCCTCATCTCTCTTTCATCACGCTGACTGTGATTGAGTGTGGCAGAGCTGCGTCTTGACCGTGGTGGTGCTATTATTATCTGTGATGTCTGCCGGTGCAATTGGAGAGGAGGGGGGCTGGCGGCGTCCACACATCACTGGAGCACACGAGCCCTCTGGCCAGGGCTGTGCATTCCAGGCCATAAATATCCACAAGAAGAGATAGAGCCGAAGCAAGTGGGGGAGAGGCAGGAGGCAGAGACAGATCATATGGAAGCCAGGACAACAAATATCCTGAATACAAAATAATATCATTCACATCATTCAAAGAAATGGTCATCGTCACCCACCAGGACCAGGATGTCACTCTGTGTTGGCAGATCGAGCGATTGGCTGCAAACTGAGCTGAGAAACCTAAAACTACTATCATCTCCATTTACTACCTTCATCAAAAAATGTATTAACAAAGTATTTGACAGACAAGACTGTAAGTTCTTCAAAATGACAGATATTTATTTTGCTTTTTTTCTGAAGTTCTGGTAGGATGTCACTGAGCAGCACACAAAATCATACTGGTCTGATGTCGCCACAGAGGCACCACTTGTTTGTGAGTAGTAAATGAGGTTTTGTTGAACGTTATCAAATACTAATGCACATTTTATAGAGACTATATTAATTGATTTGTTCACCTTTCTTGCAAGTGGCAAACAACAATGGTCTGGTGTGTCAGCAGTAAGCTACTCAGGATCGGCATTGGTCCGATATTGTTCAATATTTCAAGATTGAACATCAGAAAAACACACCTACAGCCTGCCTGATCTGACACCCAAGCCCAAATGCTCAACTTAACCTTGTACAACATGCTGCAGAAAGGGACACTATCACCTCAGCAACAGCAGCACACTGGAGGAGGAAAGAAGGTATCTGATTGGAGTATCAGCAGATACTCCAAGTTGTGGTATCAGTATTAACATGACAAAGTTGTATCAAGCCATTACTAATTCCTCCTGGCAGGAGCATCTTTTGGCCTTCTCGCTAACGACAAAGTAACAACCTCACTTTTGGTCCATCGTCTGCTCGTCGCAGCAGACCAACATCAACACACGACTACTGCCATGGTGAAGAAGATACGCTGTGTCAAAAAAGTGGCACTATTTAAAATTGATTTTTGGCAGCACAGCCATAGGAGAAAAAGACATCCAGGTTGGACATCTGCTCAAACAGTAAACAAGGTAGTCTCTGGTGAAGATCCCAAAACACAAAACTCTAATTTTGGACGACTTGTTTACTACTTGTCTACAATTCTTGTTTCAATAGCTTTTCAATGGTAAAACAACATAATAGTTTTTGGTGAGTTTTTACAAAAACAGTGTGAGTCAACTGAGTCACCAGCGCCTCACTCATCATCAGGCACAATAGCAATAACAAATCTTATATCTTTGAGAAACCCTGTGGTAGACAAATGTGCAGAACTCCTGAAATTGAAATGCCATAAAATGAGAGTGCACATAAAGACTGGTCAGCATCTTTCAGCTGGAAAATAAAGAAAAGCACAAGCACAGAGGCAGGAACGGCTAATGAACAACACACTGGTGGAAATCTATTCCCTCCTATAGTACTATAAGTGATAATACTTCTGAATCTAAAATATGCTTCAACCTCTTCTGGAGAAGAGAAGGTTAGAAGCTATAAATACAATTTAAATTGTCATTAAAAAAGAAGATGAAGACAAACAGCACTGTCCCAAAATAGGTATTAGGACAAGATGTGGGGACATGAGAAGATCAAAACTGTGGGTGTGAGACAGAGACGTGCTGAGTGATATACCAGCTGCAGCTTCTCTGCCAGCTCATAGCGTGAGAGCTTGACTGGAGACTTTCTCTACAGGTCAAGATGAAAACATGTTCACAAATATGCAGCAAAGTACTCATCTCAACACTAACAACAAAAAGTGGACAGCAGAGTGTTTACAACTTGTAAACAAGTAAAGGTCTATGACCTTACTGCAGCGTTTTTCAACCTTGAGGTCACAAACCCATGCAGGGTCGTCTGGAATTTAAATGGGGTCACCTGAAATGTCTAGTAATTGATTTCTATTAAACTATAAAGATGTTTTTTCATTTTTTCATTGCTTTTTAAAATTATGATTAAAAACTCACAAACAATCTTAAACAACTGTATTTGTTCACAATCATGAATATAAATTATGTTCAAATAAAATGCAGCATATAAATATATCTGAGCTGGCTCATCTTGATTGACAGCTTAGATTAAAAAATGTCTCTGGGTTCACCAGAAAATTGTGATGTCTAAATGGGATGATCAAACAAAAAAAGCAAAAAAAGAACCATTGACTTACTGGAAGAGATTCTTTTGAATTAAATCTGAAAACATTTTACCTCCAACTTACAATAAGTGACTAACACAGGTTTCTTTGAAAAGATCTCATTTGACAGGATTCCAGAGAGATTCGAACTCTGAAGAACCCCACTTAGGGTTTTAACCTAACTTCCAAAGAATCTCTCCTGAGGAGATTCTTCACCTCTGAAGAATCACAGAAAGGCTTGGTTTCAGAGGCCTGTAAAATGTCATCACTGCTCAACATCATCTGAATCAATGCGTCCTACATAGAAAGTCCAGTGTCTAAATCTCATCCAAAATTTGCTGTGTTTCTTCTGGATTTGTTAAACCTGGTACTTCACTGGGAGAGCACAGATCGCTCTTCCACTGTGTGGAAACTAAGAGATTATGTTAGTACACTCTCATACAAGAAGTTTCCTAACGCCTACACGATTCCCTTACACAACACTTCCTAACTTTTGAAAGTTCTCATCTGGAGGAATTTTTGAGAAGCATCATCAGGTGGTCTAATGTCAAATTCAAACAAAAATTTCCACTGTTACCTCTGTGTAAGTGAACTTTTTTGCTTATTCCAGAACCATTATCAGACGACACTGGTGTCATCAGGACCGAGGTCATACTACTGAGCACAGTGTGTGTTGTTGTGGATTTACCTTCACCCAGATCCATTATAGCCAGGACGGCACTACAGCTCGCCTCCCCCAGATCATTGGTGGCCACGCAGGTGTACAAACCAGCATCACTGGTGCCACAGTCCCGGATCCACAGACCTCCTGGGTCCTGGGCCTCTGAGGGAGGAACAGGATCGTCGTTGTGGTACCAGGTGAGGACAGGTTTGGGATGTCCTGCCACTGATACTCTCAACCGGATGTCACAGCCTGTGCCAACTGCTGCTTTGCGAAGTTTGCGGTTAAAGACTGGTGGTGCGGGTTCTGGAGTCGCAGCCCCAGTGTCTGGGATGTCGCTGACCTTTGGCCTCTTTAAAGGAATTTCAAGGCTGCGGCTGGATCCAGAAACTTCCATTCTGATTCCTTTTTGCTGTTATATTATCTGGAATTAAAAATAAAGGGACCTTTAGGGAAGACATCACCCAATTCCCCATTCCCTACATTAAAATAATGTTCTTTTGGCTGTTCATTGTTTTTACATTTATTTCTAGCAGTTGGATATATTAAAATGTTCTTATAGAATTTTTGGCTTATGGCTTAATGTACAGTAACTTTGGCATTTCTTTTATTATTATTTTTTTAAACTTCAAACTTTTTTTCAGCCACATTGTTTTCATTTTACATATTTGTGGCCTACAGTCAAGTTGTCGCTGTGCTTATTTGTTTTTCAACCTATTCAAAACTATATTAGGCTTTTTAATGTTAGTAATCTTTAGCGCCGGATAACTTTTAGCAACTTTTAGCAACAACTACTTGCAGGTATTTTATTATTTCATAATAATGAACATCTCTAAAAGTTTTAAAAATTTCTGTTAAATTAATTTGTTAACAAACCACAAAACAGCTCTCAGTTTTACTTAGGACAGTATATGTATTTATTCTTTTCAGGGTACTGTGAGATTCAGTTAAAGGACTAAAACACTATATATATTTTTTTTTCTGTTAACAATTTTTTTTTATTTAGGTATTGCTCTCTTGTAGGATCATCTTTGGCCTAATGACTTTTTTGTTTGTTTGTTTGTTTTTTCTTTTGCCTTTTTAGCAAATTTTGAGGAAGAAGTTAGCTGGAAAGTTGGGTATTTTTACAGTAGAATTCACATAACAAATTCAAACGTCGAAATGAGAAATATACTTTTAAGTTGTGTTTTTGTCTTCTTTTCTTTTTATTGCAACCAAATGCTTGTCATAACCTGGACTTATTTTACATTATAATTTACTGATGGCTGTTGCAAATCAGAAGGGCTGATTTATGGACTTCCAGGATATTTTCCAAGTTTAAAGTGGAAACAAAACAAAGTGGCCAAACAGCTGAAACGATGTCATCATCTGAATTTACTTCAAAAAGGCCTATATCTGTTTTTTCCACTAATGTACTCATCCAAAACCATCCCAAAATAGACTTTATCCTAAAATAGACACAAACGCACAGTACATTACCTCTGGAATCCCTTTGGTCATCCCCGCAAAGTCCAAGTTAAGGTAACAAGATCCACACAGCAAAATATTTCATCTCAAATCATTTGCCGAAGCCAAGGTCTCCCTGTGTCCCGCAGCGAGCACAAACTGGAGGTGTAAGTCCTGCCAAGATCATGTAGTATTAGCAGCCGGGGCCATGGAGCCGTCGTCAGTGAATCCTGACAGACGAACAGAGAAGAAGGACAGTCACTTAGGTTGTCTCAGGAAGTCACAAGGGTTAACTGCAAAGTGTCACCGTACTAAATATCAGCTCATGTTGTAGACCGGCTCTCTCTTCAGTCTCTCTGCTCTCACTGCTTCACCCCCAACTCCCTCAGGTTAGCAACGACAGCTGCAACCACCACAGATAGGTCACATTTCTGGAACTGCCATGTATGACCTATACACACACACACACACACACATTCACATGTATCATACCCATTTTAGATAATGCTATCAGTCTAAATGTGTGTATGTGTACACACTCACTTTTAGCACCTACTCTGACCTTGTCAGGTCCAGATGACCTCCATGAGACAAGTAAAAACTGAAATTCTGATTTATGTGTTAAACTAAATTAGTTATAAAAAAGCCTTTCATTTGTTAGAAAAATTTATCAGTTTTACTATTATTGCTTTACTTTTTTTTCTGTTATTTGCTCTGCTAACATTTTCTATTTTGTAAATTAGTTTTGGTTTAATAAACATTATATAACACTGGAATACTGGTTTATTTCACAACTCGTTTTTTAAATAATTTAAATATTAAAATCTAATACTTTAAAAATAAATACCACATACTAATAAATAATGTATTTTTACGCTAGATTTATTTTACATATTTTGTAAACTAAGTATCATATCTGTAAACCACATCTGATATGGATTTTTAAAAGTTAAAATTGTATATTGTACATAGTTATTATTAGTAGTTTAGTAAGAAATATTGTGAGGTGAATTTTAGTTTTGTGCTTATTCTTACATGCAATATTATAGTAATATTGTCTTTTTATGATTTTAAGTACGATACGATTTTGAAGTTATAAATAACCGACAATTAGCGCTTCACAAGATATTCTGACAACGTGACGCAATATTTGCGCGCCCTCTACTGGTCAAAGGATGCAGCACTGGCAGATATCACTTTTGACTGCAACATTAAAATTAAATTAGACGTAACTAAAATGCTTTTCTAAACTTTTATGAATTTTCCGTTTGAAGGCAATAATAAAATGTCCTTCTTTTGATATAAAAATCAACTTTAAAGAACACTGATTTTAGAAACGTCTACGTGTTTCTACTTTAACCATAATTAATTCAGTCAAATTAGTTCTTCTAGTTCTTATTTATTTCATTATTTAATTATGTATAATATATATAAAATATAAACTGTACAATGTTTAAGTCATTTAGAAATACTAGAAGCCAAAAGGCAAAGCAGTTCAAATATCTGTTGACGGCAGCATTAATGTATGTTTTATACATATTTAAACTGCCGACAAAATCCTAAACCACAATCATAACATTAAAACGATTTCTGTGGTAACAGCAGAAAGTAGCAGCAAAACCAGTCCATGTTCAGTACCAAAGAGTGAGGTGAAGCAAAAAAAAAGAAGCTTTTTACATTTACTGTGCAGGGGACTGGTCTGTAAAGTCCATGTTTATACTGGATTTCACTGGTGTTTGCACAGTTGATACCGATATTAACGAACTCTTCTCTGTACCTTTCTGCTGTGTCGATTGAATAATTTCCTTTCGGGGATGATTTAAGTACTCTCTTGTCCTGTTTCCAAAACAAACAGCTAATGCTACTACTTTAGTAGTAGCATTTAGCTCAGTTTACCAGGTAGGCTAATCGCTTGACCACTTTGCTTGTCCGAGGTCCAGCCTGAAGGATCTTGTTTAGATAGTACCGATTAGTAGGATGTGTGATTGGACATTTAGCGTTTTAAAACAGGTTTTGTTATTCTCTTTTCTTCTGGTTCCTGTGAGACTTTCCAAATTAAAAGCCGGTGAACAACAGACGTTTACAATAACATAATACATAATTATTTTTTAACTGCATTAACGTGCGATAAAATAATTGTCAGAAGAATTGACCCAATAATAACGCGTAAAAGTGCCCATCTCTATTTTTTGTGTTATTTTTAAATTCTATTTTGCTATATTTTAATTGTTTTTGATTAGCTCAAGCTTATGTTCAGTTATAGCCATTTATAAGTTTTGTGTAACATAATGCTATTATATAGCCAAATTTGTGACAAACATGATGGCTTCTTTGAGAGGTGTCATGTCAACTTGGACAGCTAGTCGTTTTTTAAGTATAATTGCTAATAATCTGAAAGCCAGTAGCTACAAGTAATTATGGGCTACATCGGATTAACCAAGGCTAATTCTGAGCATTTTTGTGGCAGCTTTATGTTTTTGTAATTTCGTGTTAACTACCTACCATGTCAAATGAGGTCTTTCTAATAAAATAAAATTATCTCTTGCAACTTTGAACGAATTTTCGTTAATTAAAAGCTATTTGGGATTTTTTATAACAACATTTATACTAATATTGTACTTAGTTTATACTTTTAAACTTTTTTAAACTAAACTAAACTTTTTTAACTACTTAACTTTTTATCGGCTACTTTTTTATAATTCTTGAGCTATTGTTTGGTATGTTTTGATTAACCTTTAGCAATGGCTTAGCAATTTTTGAAGAGTGGATTTTTGCTGTTAAAACATTTAAGGAATGTCATTTTATAAATGTGTTTTTGTCCTGGTGACTATTGTACTTTAGAAGGTAAATCATTGGAACAAAGATAAAATTGTGTTTTTATTTTGTGAAAGTGAAAAGAAATTCTCCTTCCAAGGGAAGTCTGCAGGTTTGCATTGTGAAAAAAAAGGTTGTTGTGTGTGTGTGAATTAAGGACTACTAGATAAGAGACACACACTTTCCCCTTCACACAGGACAAAGAGTTTTTGTTCACTGGGAAAACAGGTGCACGGGGGTTGTGTGTGAAAGTTGTGGTTGGAAATGTCTAAATACTGTTTGATCAAATAGAAAGAGTGAAAAGATTTAATTATGCCAACCCATCTACAATACATACTATAGCTAGAAAACATTATTCTTTTTTTTTATTTTACAGATATCAATCATATAGGTCTTGAACACATGTTGAATTTGGTGCAGCAACCATGTAACAAACTACAATGACAATACTCAAAGTCAATCATCACCTGTTGTAGATTTAAAAAGTATCAGGAGAAAGCAAATGACTAAACCACTAAGCCACCATTGCCCCAGAAACATTACACATATTAAAATAAATCACATTAAGAAGCAGTTTTAGACAGCAGCTAGTATTGCTAGCATCAGTTAACAAACATGTCAGCACAATTTGGTGCAGTTAGGGCTCGCTCATTTCTAGGGATGATTTTTATAATATTTGTTAAGATAGTTATTCACATTGTGTTTTAGGGGTTTCTAGAGTATGTTAATTCTTAATACCTTGAATCCAAATGTAAACTTTCCACCTGCAGATCCCACAGAAAAAAAAGAAAACCCTTTCAGATCATTTGATCAAAGTAAGCTGGTAAAATGTTGTTTTATATATAAATATTTTTCTTCACTCTTAAAACGTTTTTAAATGGGTTAAGAAATTAATTTAGGTGAAAAGTGAAGGTCTATTGGTTATAGGAAATAATATACAAGGGTTCTTGTTTTCTCCCAACAAGTAGAAACAAAACACTATAATTATGAAAGGGATGATTTCATAGGGTTTCTTTAAGGGAAATTTGCATACTCAGCCTTTAATACACATGGGCTATTACAGCCTGGTTCTTTGTTAAACCAGGTCAGCTAAAGTATCCAAGAGCTGGAATCTGCGGCATAAACACAAAGAAGAAGCAGCTGCATCTGTTCTCTCAATACTGTGTGAAAATGCTACAAAACAGATAAAACCATATCAGACATCAAGGCCACATTCTCCCAGTGTTATAACAAAAAGCGTTTGCTTACTCAGTGCCACACACTCACAGCCATGGTGTCCTCACTCCTTATCCTGGTCCTGATCCAGGCCTGTAGGCCAGAAGAGCTGCCCAGGGAGGAGATATTGTCCTGGTTCAGTACACGGATTTTGGAGGGACTCAGGCTGGACCAGCCTCCTCTGACCCACCAGAAGGTTCAAAACTGGGCTGTGTTACAGCACGACGGGGCCCGGCATGAGCATGAGAGGGCCCTTGGGTCTAGCAGGGAGACACAGGACATGGGTCAAAACACTGGGCTACAACAGGAAACTACTCAGATTATTCTCTTTCCAAGTTCTGGTAGGAAGATTTTACAACTTCCTGAGAAGTTCACATTTACTTTACTTACACTGAATGTTTTACTTTCTCCGGTGACAACTTCCTGAGAAGTTCACATTTACTTACCTTTTTGTTATTACAACTAACACTGAATGTTTTACTTTCTCTTTTATTTGCTGTTTTATCTGTTGGTATTAAAATGTTATAATTTTAAACCACAGCACTTTATATATAATTTAAAAGAGTTTTAGCACATACATGTCCCAGTTTCACGAATTCCAGCTTCTTTTCTGTGTTTTGACTCAAGCAAAAAGAAAAAGAAGGCCTATGGCTGATTATTTCACATCATAGCCGTATGTAGCTAGTAAAGCAGATGAGGACATGTCACTAGCCATAAAAGTTAGCCTAGCAGAAAAGATGAGCAAACAACACAAGCAAAACACAAGCCAAGCAAAGATATAACTAGAAGATGGAAAAAAAATAACAACATCCCAAAGTCAGACCTATAAAACCTGTAAACTAAGGTAGAAGCTAGAAAATATGGGATGTCCCGGGGGGCTGCTAAAAGAGAGCACTGTAAATTGATGTGAGTGGTTGTTTGCCACAGGGTCACATCAGTTGTCAGTCTCATTGATGTTCAATGCAAAAACCAACTTTCTATATATTTTTGTTTAATCATATTAATATAACAGTGAATTTAGACTTTGACTTATTACTCTCTCACAGACTCCTCTTGTGCCACATCTGACTCATCCCCTGGAGAGAAAACTGAAGGCTACCTCAAGTACCATTTCCAGCCTTCAATAGGTGACAAGGAGACCCTCACATCTGCAGAGTTCTGGTTGCACACAGGTCAAGAAGACACAGCCAACATTTCTCTTTTTATCCTCACTTCAAAGCAGCAGCAGCAGCAGCATCTTCAAGCAGCCGAGGCTCCATCCAGAAGGAGCTCAGATGGATGGACCACATATAACTTAAGGGCAATAGCGCTGGACCTTGTTGCCCAAGGTCCATTTCAGCTCCAGGTCCATTGTCCAAGATGTCTGTGCAACATTAAGGAACCAGACAAGACGGCCTTTTTGGACCTCCACACCCGACCTCGGTCAGCCAGATTGCGCCGTCATGCTCCACTCATCATCCCCTGGTCTCCTTTTGCCATTAACCTGCTACAGCGGCCTTCACGAGAGAAGCCAGAGCAGACCGACTGCCAGCGGGCCCAGGTGGATGTCAGCTTTCAGGAGCTGGGCTGGGACAATTGGATTGTCTATCCCCCATCATTAACCTTCTTTTATTGTCATGGAAACTGCTCGGCAAGCGACCGGACCCTGGCAGGGCTGGGGGTCACTCAGTGCTGCGCACCGTTGCCTGGTAGCATGAGGTCACTGAGGGTCACCACAACATCTGATGGTGGACACTCCTTCAAGTACGAAACCCTGCCCAACATAATCCCTGAAGAGTGTATCTGTATCTGAGTGGCACAGAAAACTGGATGCACTTCTTTATAGTTGCATTAGTAAGGTTGCTTCTATACATTGCATTGTGGGAAAACTTGTCTAATTGTATCAATGTCACCGGAGACTATATTTGTCGTTTTAGTTTGAATCATTTGTTTTAGTTATCCGTTGTTAGAATAAGCTTTGTTGAACCTTTGTAGTTATCACCTATAGAGGGCAGTGCAGGATCATACTTTGTTTTCCTCATTCTGATTCTGTAGCATGCATATATTAAAAACAAAAACGTTCTTTAAAAAGTATAACAACCCGCATGTTTTTTTCTTCATTAACATAGAGGGTTAATTTACTGTCAACTTCCAATTGTTAAAAGAAAATGCTTTGACAGACAAGACATGCAAACATTTGGCAGAACTACATGGAATAGCCGACCATAATAACTGAAAATATATATATATATATTTTTTCCACAAGAGCTAAGAGTTAGTCAGAAAGGTTGTGATCCAGTAGTAAGTAAACTACAGAATTAGCCAAGGTCCGCTGAATGTAAACAAACAGGTGGGCACCATGCAGTAGATGATAGACAAGAAACTAATAAAAATTGTGGCAGAAATATTGAATCACTGGAATTTTTATTACAGTTAAGCCTAACGAAAAGAAATAGAAACTTAAGTTTTAAAATTAAAAACTGTTAATAGAAGATCGAAACAGATAGACAGCTTTTTGGTAACAGCAAGTTACTAAAAAAGGTCAACTTCCATCCCCACAAACTGGCCATTTTATTTAAAAATAATTCATAGACAAGATATTGTTCAAATATATTTATTTACTCTGAGGACAAAATATTCTCTACAGTTACAAAAACTACAAAACTTGCAATAGAAACAAAACAAAAGTATAAACCACTGCAGTACCGTGTTGGCGGTGAATGGCCGTACCCCGAAACAACAAAGTGGCAGAAATGAAGTGAGATGATTACATGAGCAAAAACATAATCAAACAGATCCTTTGGCTTTTCAGCCACAGATGATAAAAAGAAATCATGACTGACAGGCGATGAAACAAAACAAGATACTGATCAAAAGTCTGCGGATGAAAGTGGAAGAGCCCGTGTGTTTAGGCGTCACTGGGCTGTGTGTCTGTCAAAGAAACAGCAGCCACGGAAAATGTGTCTCAGCGAAGAAGAATGTAAATGTCAAAAAGTTTTTCTTTGCTGTTCACAGGAGCAAGAAGAGCAGTCCGGTTACCAAAACAAGAGATTGAAATATGAGTATATAATGAAGATTATTATGAACTGACCTTCAGAGAAAAAAAAAACATGACTGTTTTTTAGCAGTTTTGTTGATCATGCAGCATTAACAACACCCACACTAACATTTCACAATCAACTGTAGACAAGGAATTGATAAAAAACGTGAATTTAAGTGAACCGAAAAAACAAAACAAAAAAAATTTTTGTGGAGAATGATTTGTGGAGAAAGAATTCAAGCATTTCCCAGGTAAACATTTTTGGCTGATTGGAACAAAAAAAAAACATACAAAAACGTCACCCCCCCCACAAAATTAAACTTAAAAAAAAAAAAAAAAAAAATCAATATCCATCCAAAGTGTTCTGAAAATGGCATGACTTCTGGCTAAATAAAAGAAATCAACTATCAAATCATCTTAAATTACACAACTCATCTAGTACAGGTTCAGCCCGCTGCAAACACTCCCAAAAAATGTCAGGACCTGAGGGCTGTGCTTTCAGACATTGTCTTGGAGGCAAACAAGCCTGGACACAGTCTGAACTCAAACTTAATATGGGTTTATTTCTTTTACTGCTTTTTTTAAATTTTTTTTTAAATGGAACTGAAACAAACCAGGATTATTTTAAGGCCACACGAAAAAGTGGGTGTTGATGAGGTCTGAGCTGGAGTTTGTACCAGACTGGAGCGGCATAAATGTTGAGATGTGGCAGGGATTAAAGTTTACAGTGGGTGGAAATGAAGCGTTTATCACAGCACAACTCTGTCTGCATTTCTTTTCTTCTCCTCTGCTGGTTTCAGTTCTTAAACTGCCCCCCTCCCCATCCCCTAATACTGAAAGGCTCATTTCTTTCTCACACACACACACACACACACACACACTTTGGTCTCCCCTCAGTGGTCTGACTGCATTTCCATATGTGCTTCCCTCCATGTGTTTAAGGCCAGTAGGAATGGAAGAGCAGACGTTTTTGAGGCAGGAAGCGCGCTCAGGCACGTATTCCTGCAGGAGAGAGAGAGAGAGAGAGAGAGACAGAGAGAGACAGAGAGAGAGAGAGAAAATAAAGACAACATGTGACCATTCAGCACGTTATGTTCACTCAAAATCCAGGTTTTTAAAGATTGCTGCTGCTGTCAGCATAACAGCATTTAACTGATTTGATTAAAATCAACTGGGGTTTTAGAAGCTGGGGCTGGACTTAGTTTTCTAAACCAATCTCTGTGACTTTAAATAACTTTGATTTTTCCAAACCAATACTTCACGTTTAGTTGTATTGAATCCCTGACCTCTGAAAACTGTTCCATGGAAAAAAAAATAAAAAATCCTCCTCCCTAATAACAACCTTAATCTATTATTAGATTACATGTTAATGTGCCAACAGATCAACAACTGCCTCAGAAGCAGAGGAGAGCATCTTTAAACACTTAAAAGCTCATTTCCACTGCAACTGAATCTAAGGAGGGAACCAGAAACTATACCTTTCCATTGCTGGGACTGGGACAGTTTTTTGGGGGCTCCCTGCTCATGAGGTAGGACTATGAAGCTGTACAGGAACCTTCCAGACTGGCCGAGGATCTGAACTCTTTTTTTTACGACTTTTTCCTGTGATAAGATAGACAAATGCTAATGATATTTAGCATTTATTAGGTTGAGAGCATGGATCCTACACAAGAACTGGACCAAGCTAAATCCAACAGGCTGTTTGCTGCGGCTGGATGAATGTGACCACAGCGTTTTTTTGGTTTTGGAGTTAACTGTTTGTATACAATTCTATGAAAAACTGACATTGTTTTCCCTTGATTTTACACAGATTTATATACAAACCAAGTTACTTCCTAAAAAGCAGCAGTACTGCTGCTTCAGACCTTATTAAAACTGTGGATGGCCTTGTCCAGTTCTCATATTCAGTCAATGGTCTAGAGTGCCAGGCTAGTAGGCATTTCAACAGCAAGTCATGCATTTGCTGTACATCAATGTTCTATCGTAGCAGGGGCTGTGGGACAAAAAGCCCTTGAAATTTGAATTGGATCGTCATAAAAAGTTGGTTAACATGTCCTGAACATGCACAGAAATGTCCAGAAAGGCTTCTGTAGCAGCACACATGCACGTGCACTGTGTCTTTTTCTACATCTAACGCATTTCTCATACATAACAATTCAGATAATATATCATAGAAGTGCAAATCAGACATGACGTGTTAACTGAAAGGCAGCCAAAAACTACATGTTAAATATAAATAGCAGAAAGAGGTTTATGTGATGTGATGCAATCTAGTCAAAGGAGACTAGGCCCCAGATAATACAAAAAGAAACACTGTAGCTAAAGAAAAAAGCCCAGACTTGTGAATACAATAATGGGCTAGGATTAGCTACAGATAACAAATGTAAACACAAGATAAACATTTGATGAAAATGGGATTGGTAATGATAAAACCCTGAGGTTAGCTAGGAAAAGCATAGGAATGGGACAGAAATAACAGTCATAAAAACAACATCATAGTCAAGAAGAGATTAAGAAAATTAAAATAACCAGAGCCTGACATAAAAATCTGATAAAAAAAATTCAACCAGAATGAAGTTTGTCAAAAATTAGGGAAGTAAGTGGCCTCAAGCAAGAGCTTAATAGTTGGATCAAAATGCAAAAAAGGTCAGGCATGTAGCTTACAGGTTATTTTGTTGAATTTGACAAAATTGCTCAGGAAATTAAACACAAGGCTCATTAAACATATTTCCTTACTATATTTATTGGTACTGTTTTAATTTTTGTATTTAATGCCAGACTGCAGAGCACAGGCATGTTTCCTGGCAATAAAGTTGATGTACAGCACTACAGTGTGGAAACATTTCTTTAAAGAAGCTTTTGTTCAAGTGTTATGTTTGTCAATCAATGTTTTTGGAGAACATGTGAATGGTTACCTTTCTCGGTGGACTCGCCCTGCTTTTCTTGAGCAAAATTGAGGCGGTTTTGCTCAGCAGCTGTCTGTGCGGCAGTGTTGACCTCTGGGCTGCTGCTCCGTGATGGGCTTCCTTCATCAGCTTGGTAGGCCAGTTCCAGATGCTGCTGTGCCAACTTCAGGTGCCTCCTCAGACGCTCTACTTCGTCCCCAAAACTCTCTCTCCCAGAGTCGGCCAGGGGTGATTCCCTCAGATCCCCTTTCAGTTTTTCCTTCTTCATGGTGGCATGGTAGCCTGGAGGAGCCGTAGGGATTGCACGGGATAACACAGGCCGCAGGGGTTGACGTTTTTGGGCTGCTCGTCTGTTACGGAAGGTGTCACGAATGCCGCCGATTCCAAGGTGGAGCATCTCCATTATGGTCAGGAGAAGGCAGAGAAAAGACACCACATACATGACCAGCAGGAAGATGGTCTTCTCTGTGGGTCTGGACACGAAGCAGTCCACGGTGTGTGGGCAGGGGGTGCGGGTGCAGACGAAGTCTTTTTTCACCTCAAACTGGTAAAGAATATACTGACCAAAGAGGAAGGCCACCTCGAAGGCAGCGCGCCACAGAAGCTGGCACACATACACTTTCATTAGGCCATCGCGCAGAATCCGGCGACGACCATCATGCTTTTTCTCAGTGCCTTTAAAAAAAAAAAAAAAAAGTATAACATACATAAATAAAAATATTGACTCATTTTTTAAAAGAAAACAGTAAATGGCAAGAGTCTGTAGCCCTGCCTTTTTCTGGTTTTTCTGTTTTTTCAGGCTTCTCTGGTTCTATTTCTTCCTCAATCATGGGATCTTCCTCTCCATTATCCTCTGCCTCCTCATAGTCCCGAACTGCCCCACGGTTCACGATGGGCATTCTCTTCCTCTTATTACGAGCTGGGCGATACTCACTGTCATCCATGCGGGCAATCTTGTGCATGGCAAACCCCAGGTACATGATAGTGGGCGTAGTGATCATAATTACCTGGAAACAGAACCAAAAAAAAAAAAAAAAAAGGTACTTTATGACAGAATTGGTAAAACCCTAACTTACTGTCTTACCAATGTCAATAGTAAAGCAATAGTATAGTTATGTTTGATAGTACATTATGTTGGTAGAAATAAGTACAAATGATGAAATTATCTAACTATTGCCCAAAACTACTAAAAGCTAAACAATCAAGTTAACTAGGTAATACTTAAAATAACAAAACTGCTACATTTAGCCTAAGAAAATTGGACTGGAATTGCCTAAAAAGTACAAGGTCTGAACTGGCCAAATTAGCAAAGAACAAAAAAAACAAAAAAAACAAAAAACTCTTTGAAGCAGAACCATGTAAAATGTGTGAAGTAGCCACAATTAGACAAATTTGATAGAAACAATTAACCAGAAAAAGATGTTCACTAACATCTCAAAAGCGCTTCATCCACCCTTCAAACTTTGAGCACATTAAAATTCAAACAATGATTTCACACCCCATTTTACAAATTCTGCAAACTGTACATTCTTACCTGAAAAATCCAGAATCGTACGTGGGAAAGTGGTGCAAAGGAGTCATAGCAAACATTCTCACATCCAGGTTGCTGTGTGTTACACACAAATTTACTCTGTTCATCGTAGTAGATGGTTTCACCACCCACGGCTGTGAGAACGATGCGAAAGATGATGAGCACCGTCAGCCAGATCTTCCCCACAAAAGTGGAGTGGTTGGAGATCTCGTCCAGGAGACGAGTCAGGAAACTCCAACTCATGGTGTCAACAGAGAGCAGGGAGCTCAATCAGCTCTGGATACAGAAGGGAGAAAAGACCAGTGTCAGAATCAAGTGGAGATGGTTTGGACACCAGCTGAGGAAGGACTTTGTTGCATGTTGGACAAAGACAGAGAAGACAAAAGCAATGGTGAACAGTAGGAAATGTTTTGGTTACAGTTAGCATGTTTGTCCAAGTTTACCTACTCTTTAAGCAAACATACAACAGTTTTGTGGGCTATATTTTGATAGTGCCAAGAAACATGTCAACCTCTTAGGCCTCTGGGAGGGCTCGTCATTCTCCCATCTTAATACATTACTTATTTAAAGTAAATCTGCATTTGAATTCCAAACGGTTCCACACTGCTTCCATAAACGACAAGAAGAATAAATTCTTATCCAAATCTTTTCTATCGTACAGTCTTTGATTGTCCTTCCTAAAACCTCCTGACTGGATAACGGGAACTGAAGCTGTGTAATTTACCATGTTTACACTTTCACAACACTACTTAAGAATGCAAGTGTGAGGTGTTCCATGCAAGGACTGTGGCTGAACCGTAACCACAGTGCGGAGCAATAAACACGGCCGCTGCCATTTTTAATCAAGCCCAGGTATGTACAGACGTGCGTCAGCAGCACAAAACACTGATTCGCCCCCCCCCCCCCCTCCTTTCCTCCCTGCTGGTCACTAATCCTGGAGACTGTTTGGTAAAACCCACATTCTTATGGTTCTCTCAACACCAGGCAGGAACTGCTTTGTCAAACATCAAAGTGTTGGCTGGTGAATTTCCCCAGGAGACCTGCAGTGACTCTACACTGCAGGTATTAAAATGGTCAAAAATGTGAATGGGACCGTGTATTAATTTCCTGTTAAGCTGCCAGAAAATGATCCTTTCCTTTTCTTACGGACCACAATTCGATATCTAAATGTGAACACAACAGAAATGTGACCAACCAAAAAACTGGGTCTTTAAAGACCATCTGCGTTCTCATTTTTCTCCCATTTAACAAAAACATGTTCACCAGACAGACTAAAAAAAAAAAAAAAAAACAAGACAAGTTATTTTACTAATCAAGACATTACAATACAGCTCCTCAGAGGGAAGATAAAACAGATTTAATACAGAATTAGCTCAACATATTAATCAAAAACCAAAACATTATATTGTTAAACTTTTGTGGTAAGATTTCTGTGCCATAATTATATTCTAAAAGGTTTGAATACCAGTGATTTATGTGTACACAAAGTGGTTTTGTTTGGGGATGCTTGAGTTAACGCAAAGCAAAAGTTGAATATGTGTAATAATTTTAATTAATTATTTATTTAATGGTTTATTATTAGCCTTTCAAGGAACATCACAGGAGCTACTTCCTGTGCTGCTGCCAAACAACTTTACCCAAAAGCCTGTTTATACAACAAGAACCTCCAAGAACCTGTGACTGAGGAGAGCTAAAAGGTATAAGGAGTAGTATTGAAAATAAATAAATAAAAAAAATCTAAATCCCTGCTGCAAAGTAATTACCTAGAATATTGACTTCGGGACTTTTTCCTTCTGTGATACAAAACAGGATGGTGTCAAGTACGTGTTGACACCATCAGACCTCAAAAACATAACGGCCAACATTAAAATAACTCACACAGTCAGCGAGTCACAGTTTGCGGCGGAAATACTGTCTTTATTTTCTGGGAAAACAGAGAGCATCTTTGGGAAGCATGAACAGCTTGTTCGTGGTCAGATAATAATGGATCAGAGATGGAGGACAAATACCAAATTAGACACTTTTTCCTCAAAAAAGTATTTTAAAGTATAGACAGATTTCTAAAAGTACAATTGTTGAAGTTTAGCTATTAAAATGTTAAAAGTAATCTGTGGACATGGCTGAAAAAGCACAGGTGTTGCTAACTGGCGAAGAATTATATTATATAATAGCTAAACATTTTTCAAAATATAGAAGGAATAAAAAAAAAAATTACCAATTGATAAAAGCTTACTTTTTAAAAACAAAAAGACTCCAAAGCCAAAGCAAATGAGCAAAGTTGACAAAAACAGAACAGAAAGTAAATAGCTAAAGTAAATAGCAAAACGGCCTAAGAAGTAACCAAGAACTAGCTAATGAAGAAACAAATGACAATTTCACAGTTCAGGAAAATGTGACGGTGGTAAAAGTGAACACATAGGAAACCATGACTAACAAAAAGGTCTGAGTTGAAACTGGCCAAGGGAGGAGTCTTGTAAAACGTGGTTGAACCTCACAACTACACATACAGTTTACTCATCAATCCCTTAGAATACGCCCTCCACATCAGCACCTTCAGATGCCGGCGCATGGTGGGTGTGACCCGCCTGAGTCCAACCAGAAATTACATATTTGCAGGGGGGAGGAGGGAGTTCAGAGACACACTGTACAGCCACACCGAAGGCCATCTTAGATCCAAGCAATAACAAATTAATGACTTTAAACAAGCGTGTTGTCTAGCTATAAAAACTGGACATCTAGATCTTTTATTCAGTGGAGATTTTAAGTATGTGATAATTAAACAACTGTTACCCTAAAGCCCAGCATTAACCTGCATAATGCAGTTTTATTTCCCAAAACACAAGGTGGAACCAGCATAATCTTTAAATGACGGGTCTTTTAGGTCGATGATGAGGAAAAATGCTAGGAAACGTCTCCCTAAATAGTTATAGGAAATACTAATATAAAATTCTAAAACAAATTAACAACTTAAATGGTAGTAATAAAAGAATTAACCACTGCATAACCCCCTCCAATATCAAGCATTTACCTGATCCTAGAGGATACTCTGATTTCACCAAGTTTCCTGGTTGTGTAGATCTATAACGTAACGTCCTCCCAGTAAGACTGATACGATTGACTGGGAGGGGATTTTAAATGACCTGCACTGTCTTTGGAACACCCCCTAGTTGCAACAGATATTATAACTCGAGTAAATAAAAGTGACTAGCCTACCAGGTCTGGCAAACCCTTTAGTTTTTTTTCAAAACTGTTTCAACAAACATATCAATGAGTCATTTGTAAGAAAAAAAAATTGCAATCCTAACTTCAAACCTAGAATTACAGTAAATTAATGCACAAATTGTTTCACTTATTTAAGTTATTCTTCTCTTTTATTTTAGAGACAAAATGGCAGAAATCTTTTGGAAGACTTAAAATGTGGGCCTAAATCTCATTCTGAAGAAACTAGAACTCTGAGTAAAAGCAAATGCGCATGTATGTGCAAATAAGGCATCTCGTTTAGAGATACCAGTGCTATTTTCTTTAACAGTCAGGGTTTAAATTTGGACATTGTTTCTCAAATGGTGGGTCTTTAGTACAAAGTAGGTTGCGGGCATACTTTTAGGGACTGGATAATACCATAAATACCTGGTCTGTCCCACATCAAAACATACTCAGCTCAGCTACAGATATATTAGTGGTTTAACTTTCCAGTAAAAACGCAGTCAAAAATAAGCCAGTCTTCTTGCTGAATTTGACTATTGGTAAGAATGGAGAACTCCATAACTCTGAATTTAAACAATAATCATACCGTAAAAGCTTAGTTATTTTAGAGTTGTATTTTAATCACTGCCTATGTTAGACAATATGAGGCACTCTTTTTTTCTTACAAGAAAGTTCTACATTAATGAGAAATGGCCAAATAATGCCAGAAATAAACATTTTACCTACAGACCAAACCTTTATTAACATAAAAATAACTGTGAAATTTAAAGTGATTTAAAGAGTTCTGGTTTATATTTTCTAAAAAAATACTCTTGTTTAGTTGAAGACAACACTGATATACTAGCACAAATTAAAGAAAAACACCCACAAAGATCATCAACCTCTGGTTGTTTTTTTAGTTTTCATAGCCATTAGCGGCCACCTAGCGAAGAGTATTTACTGTAATTGTTTTGCCTGTCACACATTGACGAACAAAGAAAACTAATTTGCAATAAATAAATAATTGTTGATCAATTAATTGGAATTTGATCATTTTCCACAGCACACTTAATGATCTCTTACGGCACACTAGTGTGCCACAGCACAGTGGTTGGGAATCACTGATTTACAGCTAGCATTAGGGAATTTTGTTTGGGCTCTTCAGGTAAAATACACTTAAGGTTTCACAGGACTATCATTCTTTAATGATATGTCAATAAAATGTGTACTTTTAAAAAAAGATATTGTGTATTTTTCTGACCACAGAAAAACCGACTACTGGTCAAAAAGGCAAAAAACAAAAACAACAACAAAACAAACAAAGAAAAACCCAGCAGCATCAGTTACAACATCATTTAATGAAACTGCCCAAAATATTATAAAAGCAGCCAGTACCTAGTTACCTAGTTGGAAGAAGGCTGGTGTTAAATAGTAGTATTGCTGGTTTAAATCCCAGCACTGGCCTCAGGTGTGTTGAGCAACCACCAAAGACATACTGGTCTACAGTCTCATTACCAAATAGCAGCAGATTTCACCAGCACATCAGGTGTTATTCACTGAGGTGTTTTACAGATTGGTTAAACAACGACTCATTTATCTTGCTCTAACAATGAATATGTTTAATCCAACTGTGTGCCACAATTACAGAGGTCAAGGTCCCAATTAGGTCTGGAGGTTCCTTGCAAAACCACATAAGTTGGGTAAAAACTAAAACTTAAAAAATCTCTAATAATTAGGCCACAGGCTGGAATTACGGTCAGAATTCCTGCCTTAAGTTAGTTTCATCTCTAGTCTCTCTATGGACATGTTCTATCCATGCAGACACTGGTTTTCTACAGGTACTCCAGTTTCTTCTCTCTCCTCTATTAGGTTAATTGTTTTCTCTAAGTGTGAATGGTGGTTTGTCTCTATATATGGACCTGTGATGGTGAACAGTCCAGAGTGAACCCTCTCTGTGCCTGATGACTACAGGGATCGGCTGCAATTTAGCATGACACTCGGATTAAGTGGTGGAAGATGAATGGACAGACAAATTATCAGATTTTGACAAACAATAAAAAAGATTAAAACACTAATATAGAGGAGACAGGCAGAAGAAAAGTGGTGAAATGTCTGTAAAATCCAAGTGCTGCCACTCCAAAAATCCCCCACCGCTGCTTCATGAAAGGCTTCCTGCAGTGCAGGGGTGAAAAGGAAAAGATTAAAGACTCCTCAAGATTTTTTTTCCTCCCCCTCTCAGAGTCCGTCTCCTTCTCCCCAACCACAGCAGACATTAAAACCTACCTTTACAACATCTCTTGTTAACACACTGTTAAACACCCACTGCTGCCAGGGACAAAAAAACACGACCCCCGAAAAAGGTTAACTCATCCTTAGCTAACATTGACTTTCTTCAGAGACATCAGGTCAAACAGTAGTCTATTTACTCAAACCCAGCTCGGCTCTCGTAAAGACCCCCTTTCTTCCATCTCCTCCTGAAGGAGAAGTGGGGGCTGGAGAACTTTTTCTTTTTTTTTTTGTATGTGGACAAAGCAGCAAAGGCAGCAACATTCCTGTCCTAACCGGGAGCAGGGGATCTGGAGTTGTGGGGGTTAAGAGGAGCAGACAGAGGCCACATGGAATGATGAAATCCACACAAACATGACCTGCATCATTCCTCTCCCCTTTTATTCTCCTAAAACATTTTAAAAAGTTTCTCTCTTTTGTTTATTACAGAAGAAAGAGCTCCTGCTGAGTCAGACTGGCTGGTTTGGAAATTTTGGCATTTCTGCCGGGAAAACAAAGCACTGCCAAAACTGTGGCTGCCGGGGAATTAAAAAACAAAAAGAAAAAAAAAAAATAAATCCGGCGACTTAGATGATGAAACAGAGGTCGTAAAGTTTGATTTAAAAATGACTAACAGACTATTAACTGGCGAGCTTCTGCTTCAAAAACAGGAAAATCACCGTGACGTACAAAGACTACTGAGGGTTTTTTTTTCCTCTTTAAAGAACCGTTTAAACAAACTTTTTTTTTGTGAAACCACGTGAGCTAACAACACTTTTAACGGTTTCACGGTAACTTTCACAAAGTCTGAGTAACTTCATTTCAAACTTTTTGGGCCGAAATGTGCGGAAAACAGAGGGTGAGACTCACGTCTGGCTGTGCGGCGTCAGACCAGGACAAATCTGTGGTCCAGACGTCGACGCGAGGAGAAACTGCTCTTAAATGTCACTGTTCCACGTCAAACTTAACCTCAAACGACTTTTCATTGAGCTGAGAAACATTTTCGAAGAAGACGAACTGAACAAAGTGAGTTTAAAGAACTTCCTCCGGTGCCAAACACCCACCTTGTGTCCTCGGTACCGCGCGTCTTCTCCTCCTCCTACTGCTTAATTGCTCGACCAGGTTTTCCTAATTAGCCCACGACCGCGCATGCGCATTCACAGTCTCGTCCACGTGTGCTTGCAAATGCGTGTGTCGGCGTCCTCTTGCAGCCGTCACAGTCCACCTTGACCCCCATGCATGTGTGTCGGGGTCCCAGAGAAGAAGGACAAAAGAGGGACCTGTGCTCCGCGCAGCTCTACTCCTCTTCTGCCTCCTCCTTTCTTCCACGTCACTCAGCCCCATCAGCCCCGGAGAGGAGGCCCCTCCATTGAAACCTGAGAAGACTACTGTTAGGGCCCTGGAGACAGAGCACTGCTGGGATCCCATTATACCTGTTTTTATGATATGATGATGCCCAGTGTCACGGTGAAAGCCGCAGAAATCCAAGCTTTCATAATGAAACACTCTGGCCTTTCTCAGAAATGCAATAAAAAACTAAATTGGTGACTTGTTGTTGTACTTGATCCCTAATTTGTCAGGCCAGCTGTCATACTTTAACTGCTTGTACTCACAGATTTCATTAATCTTAAGCTGGTTAGGAACATATAAGTGCAGCAAACTATTAAATAGTGTTGTTTGAAAAGTAACATGTGCTGTCTGAGACACATCATCTTGACAGGAGCGAATGTCTGTATGTAGTTTGCATGTTCATCATTGTGTGTGTGGTTGTGTGTCTCTACAGTAAATGAGGCCTAGCGATTGACAGGTAAACAGGAGGCTGCTGTTATTGGCTATTGGAGTTGTAGACGGTAAATTAATCTAAAATGAGGATGAATCTGATCATTTCCTTTTAGCAGGTCGTTCATCTCCTGGCCTCTTCCCTCACACTCAGTTATCTTTCAACCTTACCATGTACTATTTTCTTGGCCAATGTGTGGGCTAACAACAGTGAGACAGCTAATGTGAGGAAGACGTAACCCATTCCTATGACATTTTTAATGTATTCACGTTTCAAAGTAAAAAAAAAAAATTCAAAATGAGAATGAAGGCAGCCCCAGTGCACTGTGATGGTCAGAAGTCAGATTTTGGCAGCCCGGTGTCCTGACACAGTGCTGCGTGACTGCAGCTTTGGCAGAGGAGGCCCACCCTCCAAGAATTGAGTGGAGTAGAGCGTTGAGGAAAAACAACAGATTTCTCGCTGTCATGCACAGAGCAGCTGTGCTCCTGCCTCACCAGCAGACGGACGCGAAATGTTTTGGGAGAAGTTATGTGAGAAGTGGACTCAGGCCAGATGTGCGCCTCCCAGCACAAAGGCCACGACTGCACCCTGACTTCCTCTAAAATGAAATATCCACTCTGCCAAAACACTAACCTGTCGCAAAATACGTAGCATGCAGCACGGCAGGAAATGAAATGTATTTTTTTCAAAAACCTTCTCTTATAACAAACAGAGGTTGTTTATCTACTGTCTCACAGGCCTTTTTGGATCCTTTCTGAACATTTCATCAGAGTTTTTTAATGTCCTTTGTCTAACTCTAAGCAGCCGTTAGTTTTAAACAAACATTTAGATATTTGTAGGCTCTTCACTGTAGGTATGTACTCGATGTTGGATAATTTTGTCACATTTCAAAACAATGAACACCCTCTAAACATTTTTCTTTCAGGAAAACTAGAGGTCATCTAAGTTACCTTTGAGTTATACAAGTGGTACTTTCAGACGACAATCCCAGCAGTCATAGAGCCAGGGTGTGGTACACCTTTGACATTTTCCACTTCATCACAGAGCCACATCAGAGGCAAATGTCCATTCAGAGTCAGATTTATATCATCGGTTAATTTTGAATGAACAGTTGATCCTTCATGTTTGACAGTCTGAACATGTGAACTCCATAGTCTGATAAAAACATTAACCGATCCTTCACAGTGCTGTCTACATTTTCTTTATTTTTTTTATCTTTTATTTTAAGTCGCAGCATAATTTTTGCTGTCGTCAAAGTGCATAATCTCTTTGATTCATCATCGTCGTCAAAGTGCATAATCTCTTTGATTCTTTTTATCACTCCGGGTTAAAAACATGGTTTCTAATATTTACATTAAATATATATATTTATATATTTTATTTTTTTTTTTAATATCAAAAACATAGCCCTGTAAATGTCTTTTTTTAAATTTACCTTATAATTGTGGCTTTTTCTGTAATCTTTTAACTATTTACTAATATATACATTTTTAGCTATTTGGGGGTTAACAGTGAGCATTTGGGCGTCATTTTAATTTTCATGACACCTTTACAAAAATGACTGGTAAGCTATTTGGGGGTTAACAGTGAGCATTTAGGCGTCATTTTAATGACTTCCTAAAATATGGTATATTAATGGCAAAAAGCAAAGGAATCTTCTATTGTATTGTACTACTATATTTTATGAGAGATATTTTAGAGGATTACCTGTCTTTATATATAAGAAAAGGGACAAAATATGTTAAATATCACATTGTCCTATTATGGGCAGAATCACTCTCAGGGAGTGTGAAAGAGTAATAGACGATATCATTAATTTACCAAAGACATAATGGTGACATTTAGTGACAAAACACATGACGTAGTGTTTTATAGTCCAAGAAATTTTGTAACATATTATACTTCACTTCAGCTCAACATTTATATATTAATATTTCAGAGAACACAAAGTCTTTTTCAATATACACAATGTTTTATTAAAAAGGGCTCTCGGGGATACTCTTCTATAGCTAGGTATTTTGTTTTGATTTCTGTGCAAAAAGTGAACATATGTGTTGTATTAGAGCGCCAGCAGTTGAATTGTAGTTCTAACAGATAAGATTCTTTTTAGAGGCTTTGTCAACATTTTGCCATGTAAGTCCCTAGATCCACCTGGATTTGTGCACCACGCCAGAGTCAAAACTCAGCAGAAACAGCAGCACCAAGCCCTCAGATTAATATCTGTGCAGACTTGCTGCCTCCAGATTTCGTCTAAAGAAGTTTGTCAGCGAGCATGCCTGACGTTTGGAGGAGTGTTGCACTAACAAAGAGGAGGAAGGTGAAAAATTGTGATGTTGCTCATTTATTCACTTAATTCCACCGTGGGTTTGGAGGTTTTGTGAACAAATGGGTGAAAAATAAGTTGATCCCAGGCTCCAGCCAGCATGTGCACAGCACATGTGCGTCACCGGTGACTGCAGAAGTTATGTACTCTGGGAAATTGGTTAAAATACCTTCCACACAGATCCTGGGACCATCAGAGCTGCACTTGGAGAGGCGGAAGTGGTAGTTATATGTAAACAGGCCAGAGCAAATACAACCAACATCTATCATGATTTCTGCAACTCTTCAGCCTTTCTGCTCAGCTGTAGCTAGATGGTGATTCATGAAGACCGTCCACTGAAGCTGAAGTGACACGTAAAGACAGCAGCTTTAAAAGCCCAAGTTTTCCTTTCCCTTTTAATTAGTCAACTGAAAACACTTAGAGGTCAGGTCGTGGCAGGTTCATGGTAAAATGTACAGAGGCACATAGTATTTGACTAAAACATTTTCTTGAAGATTATTTTCAAGAACATCATTCAACGTTAGCCATGAGGAATCTAAAAAAATCACGGATTATTTTCAAGAACATCATTCAACGTAAGACGATAGCCATGAGGAATCTAAAAAAATCACGATCATGATTGTATGTGGCATTCCAAATTCATTCTGAATACTTTTACTTTTAAGAATATATTTTAATTCACAATTTACAAATTTGTTCCTCGTGCTTTCAAAGAAAAACTCATAATAATGTGACTGAGAGAAGGATGACAAACGAACAACCCTCAATTAGGGATTTAAGCTTTTTCCTCCTTACCTAAAGGTCTTATCCCAGCCTTGTGCCAAACACATGACATAAAAACTCACTGCTCCCTAATGCAAAGGGTCAGACTGCACCTCATTTGTCTGAGCATAATCGACTAATCCCACAGATGTGAGGCTTTACCAGCTGTGAAGTCAGGGTGTATCTAGGCCATATGTGTGTACCACACAATGGAACAAAGTCTGGTATGTAGATGTTGTCCTTTATCTGCGATGAACCCACAGTAACCCGACATGACTATCTTGCTAACTACAGGATTTAAGTCTGGCTGTTCTTCTTATGTCAGGTACCACTGTTTCCTTCAGTCTAGTGGAGGCATAATTTTAGAGCCCAATTATGTCTGTCCAAAGTCTGGGCCGGGGGCTAACTGTGGTCAAATGTTTTTAGGGCCCATGTTGTAACATTGTTCCTTGCATTTATTTTAAGTTATTTCAGCAAAACAAAGTATTTCTGATTTGTATAATTTAGTAGAAGGAGCAGTTAGCCATTTGGTATTTTTAAATTTGGTGTTAAAAATTACGTGGGGACTTGTGATACATCCAAGTGTGTTTTCAAACCCAAACACAAATCGATGGTTTGGAATTTTTGTGTGAATCTCAGACCTTTAAACCAAGTGCAACTCACTGAACTGGAGATGGAAAACAACAAGCAGCCCACATGACAGGGCGTCACAAAACACCAAAAACCACACCTCCTGGATGTGGCATAGTTATAAGGAGAAGTTTAAAAAAGACACTAAACTACCAATAACGCAAAGCAGGAAAGATCAGGGTGCCGAGAGAACCAGGGACCTCCTAGAAATGAAACCCCAATGTCAACACAAGAAGAACTCTCCTATTGGTCTACTCTTCTGCCCAAATCGGCTGAATTTCAGTTTGATGTATCTGACAAATTACATCCAGTGTTTTCTGGATGAACTCAGAATTTGAGGCCAATAGGAGCTACACGGAACAGGATGCATGTTGGTTCTTGTCTGGGTGAAAGCACTAGCAGTACAAAAGGAGACAAGGACAAAGACACAGTGACTATTGTTCTCTGAACATCTTCCAGTGCCAGCTTTGAAGTCTCAAAAAACACACACACACACACTCACTCACATAAACAATCACACACACACACACACACACACATCGTATCATATACAAGTCTCTGGCTTGATTTTTCTTTTTTGTTACGTTGCTTCCTCCGTGTGCAGCTTCACTCCAAACATCGTCTCCCACTGTGATTTGACCCAGGTCAGCAGACCCTGGAGAAGCTCCTCGCTCTCCGAGCGCACGCACCACCTTTTCTCCAGTTTCAAAGTCTGTAAACGGAAAAACACAGCATGACAAAACACTAAAACTGAAGCAGTTGTTACATCAAAGTAGTATTTGTGCAACATTCCTTTTTGAAGATGCTCAGAAGTTTGGTTTCTGCTCCACTGCACAGGCAGCAAGAACATGTGGGACAAATCAAGCCAAAACTAAGGCTGATAAACA